TCAAGGATTACACTCCAGTCTCCACTTGAGATCCCGACTCACCCTCGTTTTTGCGTTCGGCCTGATGCCTTTGATCTTTCTTTTACTTCTTCTTTTTTTCCCCCCTATTTCGTTTTCGTAAATATTTCTTAAGCATTTAATTGTATATTTCTAAACTGTATTTTATTTGTGGGGGGCTGCTAGCGCTATCTGAACTCCCCCCCACCACTTGGCGATATCAAATAACAAATATTGATCGCGAGTGTGACAATGATTTATTTGCCTTACACCTTCAGCGCTCGAGATCTTATCAAGCAGATAACAATCTGGGAATTATAATATTTGACTTACGGTCTGAAAGTCAAAAGGCAATGTTATCTGACTGAGGTTGTGACGTCTTGATTAAATATTTAAGTTACCTACAAAGTTAATTTTGTTTTTTTTGTTTAATAAATCGAAGAAGTTCACAGTTCAAAGAAATTTCCTATAAAAGATTTAATTCTTCATCAAAAAGAAATGCTGTTGCCAAGTTGCAATTTTCTTGTTTACCCGAATAATTAAGATGCTCCCGATTATAGTTAATTTCAAAGTTTGTGCCAATGGGCTACTGGTTTTTATTTTTTGAAGATGTTTTCCTTTTGGTTTTTGCCATTGATAAATGTTTACCTTTTGTCTGTGTGGATGCCACAAATATTTGTGTTTGTATTTGTTTTTCGTGAGCAGTTGTGAAAAAAGCGAAACGGACATGGGATCGCCGGACATCTCCCGGCATGACTAAACAAATTTATTGCCCACTGGCAACGAAGACGTCTTCAAAATGCCGCCAATGTTGCTCAACTTCCTGTGCAAAGTGTGTGCGTTTCAGTGCGAGTGTGTTTGCCTTACAATTGGCACAGCAAACGGGGAAAAGATAGTGGGTGAGGGGCCGGGAGAAGAAGAGGGGGATGGGGGGAGGGGGGAGACAAGCGATTTCATTCATGAATTCATATGTATCTTATAGATACAACGAACGTCGGCTCGAGTACATGGCCTGCATCGATAGTGCGGCATTGCCATAAATGAGATTTCAGCTTGTGTGATTTCAGTCGCCGAACATAGGGCAAATAATAAATAAATATCGATGGACGGATGAATGAATACAGCTATGAGATACTCTAAGTCAAAACTGGAAGATACAAACATTCGGTGATTTGTGGTTCACACATGCAAACACATTTCTACAAGTAAAAATAGAAGAAAGTGTTTTCTTTGTAAATGCATTTGATTTATGGGGGAATACCGTAAACAAAAGCCCAAAATACCCTGACATAGACTGTCTCTCAAAATATGAGTTAACCATATGTTGGCATCTCCCAAAATGTATTTAAATAAACAAATAAATAATTAAATAAAAAATAACAAAAATTAAGAACTAAATACTAGTTCTTACTTGTGACTACGTGTGTGCCTTAATTTTTAAACTTTTTATGTTAATATTATACAATTTTTATCTAAAAATAAACATGTATTTTGTTCATGAATAAAAAAATAAACTGTCCTATTGTCAAAATCTACTGAACTTTATCATATATTCGTTGTACTCCCTAGAAGATAATTTTCGTTGAGCAAGTAATTCTCAGCTCCATTTGGCATTCATATCATGAATGAAAACGTCATCCCCTCGAAGACAACGGAGACCTCCCAGCAACAAATTTTTTCCAGAGAATTAAATAAACAAAAATAATAATAATAATCGCTTGGGGTAATTTGCATAGTCGCCAAAAAAAGCGAAGTAAACGCACTGCGGATCGTTTGCCAGCTTCGTTAGACGGTTTTAATGTCTTAATATATTTCGTTAAATTGAGTCATTAAAATAAATCGCCATCGACGATGATGATGACGACGACTTCGACCACAAAAGACGCTGACGATGTCGGCGCCATCACGATCGATCGTTTGCCACAACTTTCCAGAGGAGTTGGAGTTCAGGATGGGGCAGACTCAAAAGCACGTTACAACCGAGCCCCGAGAGGCTTTACGAGAAATAATTGAGATGCACACACACACGACGAGGGCAAAAACAAGCGGAAAACCAACTCGGAGGAGAAAAGTGGAGAAAAAAGGGGGAACAACAACAGAGCAAGACACGCCACGCGGTCGCCAAGGAACTGCATCTGCAACTGCAACAATGATGAAGACATCAAGCTGTAAAAAGCATCAGAGAACCAGCGAGAAAACTTGAGGCGGTCCACACAGAAAAAACTTTTATTCGCCCATAAATACTTGTGTTTAATTTTCTTAAATATTAATATTAGATATTTTACTCATTTACTCTAAAAGACATATTTTGCTTCGTATAAATATTAAATTTAATTTGATTATTTTAAACCATTTATCAATAAATTCAAATTTTACATTTCTTTTATGATTTATAACAATAAGTCTGATAATAACAATTTGTAAAATGTATAAATTAAAAATTTTTGGCTTTTCAGTGTAATGACCAACAGTTTGGCAGTCATTGCATGTGCAAAGGCCACAAAAAGAAAACGCGTGCGTCAGTGAAATTTTTCATTTGCCTCAGTACTTATATATAATTTTTTTTTGCTTTTTCGGCCACCCGCATTCAATGGCCCGAACCAAACCCGAAAAACGATCTCTGTCTGCTTCATTTGCATCGGCGGCAATAACAACAGAAAACAGAAATGCTTTTGGCAACGACAATGGGTATAATGATTGTTTACTGTTCTTTTTGAGTTAGAAAACGGTTTGAGCTACGAAATTGGAATACTCTACAGGAAATTATTGCCAACTGAATGTTCTTCGGTAAATATCGTTTTACTATGTATAACAAGAAGGCAGTTAAAGAATACACGTATGTATGACCCAATTTTGAATCGCTTTTATGTGTGTTATGTTTTATCTAGTATGTTTTATGGTATCTCAAAAATTATTACGAGATATTACAAAATAATGTTAAGACAGACCACTTAAAATATATTATATATATTAATGGTATCCTTGTAAAAATTACAAAGTTTGGATAAAAGACTTAATGTGTATTGAAAACAACATAAAATGTATTATTTTAATTTGGAATAAATATTTAATAATATTATTATCTATGTTAATGTCAAACTTTTGAGTCATTAAAAAAATTGCTTAGAAAAGATGTTGATGGCGTATTGCTTCACACATGCTTCTAATCAATCTGCGGAGAATTCCCCAAGCAAAGTCGCCCCACAGCTCGAATCAAAGAGCATCCGTGAAATGTGGGGCTGGAGATTGGGGGCTAGGGTGTCTTTGGGAGTGGGAGTGGCTGGGGGAGGGTGGAGAGGGGAGGGGAGGGGGCAATGGCAGTCCGGCCAGCAGCAGCACGTACGAAATGACTCTCGCGGAGACCTCGGCGCCCACCCATGTTGGACGGGCACACAGGCACAGACACAGACACAGATACAGATACGGATACGGATACGGACCAACACCAACACCAGCGCACTGAGGGCAAGTTGTTGCTGGCGTTGTTTATTATTTTTTTGTTTTTGTGCTGCGGCTGCTGAAGCTTTTTGCTTATTGCCGTTTCGCCTTTTGCCTTTTCGGCTGCTTTCCACAACTACTGGTACTGGATCTCCTGCTGCTGCCGCCTTTTTGCCCAGCATTTTGCCCAGTCTCTTGCCGTTTTCTGCCTTGCTGTTTTTGGCGCTCGCTGCAGTTGCGGTTGCAGTTGTTATTGTTTCTGTTTTTGCGGTCAGGCCAACTCCGCACAGTAGCGCCAAAGTAATGAAGTTGTCTGTGGATATGTCCGTCTGGATCGGATCGGTGGGTCTCGATCGCAAAGTCGAGTACGAAAGTCCTGCTGTGTGACTGCGCACAGCAAAAATAGTTGTATGTTGATGGCAGTGCACAGAGCAAAATTGGGAACAAGATAGGTAACATTCAGGGTGCATTACGTATCACCATGATATTACAAATATATCTCAATTTAAAACTAGAAAAGCAAGCAGAGTCGGTAAAGAGGAAAATTTTTGGCCATAACTTGTCAAATATGTTACCGGGTTTTCATGTCATTATGGTATTTTTAAAAAAGGATAGTCTATAATTAATAATTGTCTACCTTATTTAAATAGCCTCTATCTTTAGTTTACATTTTATTAAAATTCTAACCTTTAAAATTCTTCCCAAAGGTTTTAAAAGTCAAAGCTTATTTTGCCTACTGTTCAAAATAAAAAAAATATTATGTAAATTTAACAACTACTTCAACAAACGATCTTTTCATCAACAAAAGTCTATATATAGAAGTAAATCCTGCACGCCTTTTAGACATAAAGAATAAAATAACAATATTAGCATATAAGCCGATTGACTACACAATGCGCATAGATTTTAGCTAATCACTGTAATTAATAGGCTGCCCGAACAACCACAATCAGACAACTCTATTAACCAGAGAATCAAGCAAAAGAAAACGAAACGAAATGAAATGAAATCGAAACGACTGGCGAGGAAGACATCGACGACGAAAAAACGTGAAAAATATTGCGAGAGATATTGGCAATAAAATTTATTGAAATCTGTCCCGGCGACTTAATGGCCGCATTAAACAAAGGCCGTTGCGCCTCCCTATATCGGATTTAGAGAATTCGAGCTCCATTCACTTCACTCTCTATTAATTCAAAAATGTTGTAAAGATAGTTTCTAATTTTTATATCAAAATAAATAAAGGTATTTGAATTTGACATATTTAGCTTGGTAAAAAAACCGAGTTTTTTAAAGAAATACTTCAAAATTTGGTCAGTCAGCGTGGTCAAAATAAAGTTTCGTTTTTATTTAAGAATCTTTTTGCATAGTTTGTTCAATCTTAAAAACGGAAACACCAGTTACTTTTGATCAGTGATTGAACCTATGATTTAAAATATGGCAAATATTTGTAGGCCTTTATAGCTTGAGTAAAATCAATTTAATCTTAATTTCGTGTTGAAAACAACAAATAATTTGTTATTATTATTCGTTTTAAGGGGCTTCTACTGTAGTTCGGCACTTACCTTATCTATCTGATCGAGCGCCACTTGGGCGTCCACCCAGCTGGTGCGTATGTAAAGATCCGAGAATAATTTCTCATCGACCACATCGCCGTGTGTGTCCGGAACGCGTGGGAGGCTGTCGCGGTCCATTATGGTTACGTTTATAGCCGTATTCCGGATTGCGGACGGAATTCAGTGGAGATGTGCTGGAAATGTGCCGTTGGGTTCTTTATACAGTGCCTGCCGTTTGTCTGCGTCCGGGAACTGAGACTTAGGAGGCAGTGTGCGGATAGTTCGTGGGCTTTTGATTCGATTAATTGTTATTGGGATCTCGTATTTTGTTTGGCTGCATTTTGCACTTCACTCCGCATATTTTTTTTTCGTTTTTTTTTTTTGTGAAGAAGAGACGCTCTTTACCGCTCGCTCTCTCGCTCTCGCACGCTGTGTATCTGAGCTCTCTTTGTGTTGTTTGGTTTTGTTGTGATTGCTGGCTTCGCTTTTGCGCTGGGTTTAAACGATATCACGATTTAAGCGCGGTTTTCGGGTTTTATCTTGGGCACAATTTTTTGGGGGAATTTGACAGAATTTTCACACATCGTTGACACATGGAAAAGCGACTGGCGGACGCCTCACGTTTTCGTCTCGGTTTTCTACTCTCTCGCCTTTCGCTCTTTTACCTTTACTTTACTTCACACTGCGCGACGCACACACACACAAACACTGCTGCTGGCTGGCATTTGTTGTTGCCTGGCATTTAATCCATGAACTTCGCCTCGCATCAGTGAGATACAATATCAATATCTAAGCTTTTTCACGAGTTCTGTGCTATTTATCTTGTTGTTATGCCACACACAGAGAGTGATAGCAGTCGAAAATATAACTTAGAGTCACCGCACTCCGCACTCACAACCGTTTCGTTCGAGGATCGCACGCAGTCTGAGAGATGTATCTGTATCTCGTGGATGCGGCACGCCACTCAGGCCAACAACTTCATTAGGCGAGAGCGCGAGCGCGTGTGCTCCCGAGTGTGTGTTCCGCTCTGCGCTTGTGTGCGTGGGCGACCCATTCACAGACAGCTAAACGCTCTCCGACTCTCTCTCTTGTTCTCTTGAGCCGTCTGCGGCCATTTTGGTTTGAGTACGCTCTCTGCGAGGGCTGATACAACGGTTATTAAATGTCGAAAATACCGAGGGGTGTTCGTATAGTTTCCAAAAAAATACCAAATTGTGATTGGATTATTATAAAACTAACAAATTTTGTTGTCAAAAAATGAAACCTTAAAAATTTCAAGTTATTTACTGTCTATATATATGTATATATATATTTGTCTATATATTTTGTTAAATTTTTTTGATATTGGTATTAATATAATATTAATTTTAATTTTTAAAATTTAAAAAAAAATCTAGCAACTTGAAGTTATCTTATAAGTGGTCCTTAAAGCTTGTAGAGTTAAAGCTGAATTTTAATTCTCCAGAGATTTAGTTTGGTGGTTCTAAATGCATTTAGTATGTTTTAAAAAATTAACTAAATTTAAACGGTTCAAATACGCTATACTAAAACTTCGGGATTTCATATAATAGGCCTCTGGATAAGAAAAATGATGTAGCATCTACAATATCTTGTTCGATATTAATATGACATTATCTGGTAATACAAATATTTTTTTGAAGTTTTAAACTTTTTATGACTTTTTGTAGTTTTTAATACAATACAAATTCACTGCAAAGCTCTCTAATTTCTATTGTTTGCGTGCATTTTATATTTATTTTTGCCGAGACCACCCAAAGTGCTTTTGGCTGCTGTTTTTGTTGTTGATGTTGCCACGGTGGTTTATTTCCATTGCAGTGTGGACCACCCAAAATGTTATTTGTTGCTGCCTTCATCAAACTGAAACCGTCGAGCGTTGTGGGTGGTCCCAACCCTCGCCGGCTCTCTCCTCCACACCCCTTTTCTCAGCCGACGTCGGCCTTCACTGGAGCTTTCATCTCTGTATGTGTGTGCGAGTTTGTTTGCTTGTGGGGAGCGCGTGCGTGGCAGGCTGGGCCTGTAGTTGTGTGTGTTTTCGTGCCGCGAACTGTTGGCAAATTTGTTAGCTTTACATTGCTTGTGTTTTTGGTTTTATGGTTGTTGCTGCCCCATGCGCTGATGTCTGTTTTTGCATGTTCCCGATGCTAAATTACGAGCGGCAGGATGTTTTTGTTTTGTTTTTGCAGCAGCTTCGCCCCATGTATCTCAAATGTTCAAGATATTCTGTTTGGTGTGTCTGTGTGCGGGGACCACACAAGTTGAGATGTTTTGTTTTTGCCGGCAAATCAAATTAATGAAAAAATTACAAGTTTATCATAAAAAGTTTTGAAAATTTAAAACCATTTTCTTTATTACTACTTTACAAACTTATAATAATTTATGAATGGAAACGCATTTGGTGACTGTGTGGGTTCCCCGCACTCTTCTCATTACCAACTTTTCTTTTCGAACCAGGGCAGCAACAACAAAATATACAAATAAAAACTCTTCAAAACGACCGCAAAAATTGGCGCTCGAATCTTAAGCTCCATCGATATTCAAATTTGAATGCAACTGCAGCGTCATCCTCCCTCTTTCGCTCTCGCTCTCTCTCTCTCTCACTTCAGGGGGGATAAAGATGTGGAGAGGAATGTGGATGTGAATGTGGACCCACCACCGAGCGGGCTATAATAAACAAAAAACAACAACTCTCTCTCTCTAACTCACTCACCTGAACTAACGTTGCAACCATTTGTTGTTGTGCTCTCTCATCAAGCTTCCTCTCTCTCAGTCTGCGTGTGGCGCATTTTGGCGACATGGGCGGCATTTTTTTCTTCTCCAACATGCATATTTTAGCTTTATTTCGCTCTCCCGATCTCCCAAGATTGCGCCATCTTTGGCTGTCTCTTCAGTTTTTGCTCTCAATGACTTGCAGTTTGTTTTGCTTTCGCTCAATTCGCCTGCAGCTCCAATTCCCCAAGAGAGATAGAGAGAGGGAGATACTCACATACACTAGTGCAAGAGCTGTGTGTGTGGCGGCAGCTGCCAATGGAATGGACCACCAACGAAGCGCAGTTTGCTTTGAGAGCTTCATTTGCCGTTTCCCTTGGAGCTTCCAGGGGCGCAAGCGAAGGGGCTTTTAGGTTTTAGCCCCCTTTAAGGACCTTTACTTTGACAAGACTTTTTTTCTTTCGTTTTAGCTAAACACTTACCGACCACAAACATAAAAATAAGCCAAAACCCCCCTGACAAAATCATGCGTCCGCCACTGGCTAAAGTTCTTGCCTTTATGGCTGGAGTTGGAGTTTGGATCTGTGCCCGCCTGGAAGCAAAGCAGCGTATTGTTGGGGTTTATTCATATTTGCTCATCATTTACATACAGAAAATAGTTTATTCTAAAAATATAAGAATCAGTAGCTGTTCCCAAACCAAGTTAAGGGTTAAATAATTAAATAGTTAAGGCTTCGAAAATAATTCAAAAATTCTAGAAATGCTAAGTATTATCAGGAAAAGCTAAAAAAATTTGAATATTAATAATTTTCTTTTATAAAGTAAAAATACTTAAAGCCGGTATTTCCTTCAACCAAATCTACATGAAGTCGCCCCATCCCAAGAATATAAAAAGCTTTGCAATTAAGGCTTAAATTGGTAAAATGTTGATTGTTGTAATAACTTTGGGGGTCAAGTACATATCTAGGACAATTTTAATTATTTAAATATCAAAATATCTAAAATTGTTAAAATTGGTTACTACTTACTACTACTTTCTCCTTACTTCAACTTAGCATGAATGGTGAATGATATCAATTATATGGTCTCGCTTATAATCCCGTTGCTTGGGTTAGGTTCTAACTCTGATCTCCTACTCCATTCCTCCGTCTTTTTTGCTCCTTCGGCGACTTTAACGACAGGCTGTTTGTTTTTAATCGTATAATGTCTTAATTTATAGTGCAGAGTTGCCTAGACCCCAACTTGATACACAATCCCCACGTCCCTGTAGCCGAGCTAACTGGCAATGCAATTGCATTTGTCATTGGCCTATAGCGCCATTAACATTACCCGGTTGGTTGTAACTCTTGCTGTTGCCCCTTTCTCCCCCACCATAACCCATTCACAAAGTCTACTTGGAAAAAATATGATCGTCTTGCATGTTATATCATGACAATGATATTTATGCTTATTTTTTTTTGTGTGTTAATCATTATCTACAAAACTATTATATACTTATATTAATTAGCTCAGTTCTCAACATGTATAAAGTATGACATAATTTGAGCAACAATACCAATTGTTTTCGGTGTACTTCTCGCTTCGCCACTTAAAGTTTAACTGCATTTGCAGTTGCAAAAGTGCAAGCAATTTTTATGGCTAAATGTTGACGTCGCTGCTGCATTATTGCGGTGCATTTAATGTAATAATTACTATTTGCCACCGGTAATACGTAGGCCCGCGATTCCGATTCCCCAGCGACATGGCGTGTGTGGTTCGCTCGGCCTCGTCTCCTTTTCCCCCAAGTGTCCCGATGCCTGCGGTTTGACTGGGGATTGGGTTTGGGTTTGGGTTAACTCGTTATCTTGGCGTCGGCTTTTGCGGTTGGGTCTGCGATCTGGGGGATCGGACCGGACCGGACTGGGTCTGGAACCTCGGATCGGATCGGTTCGGTTCGTTTGTTCATGTAATCAACCGCCCCGACCAACGGCAACCGGCAACTGGCAACCGACATCACCAACTGAGGAACTGGGGAACTGAGAAGTCGGCCCCCGCCCCCTCGACGGTGTGTGTGGCTTTTCCAGCTCCTTGTGTGGTCCTGTCAGGCTTTAAGCTCTGCTTCTCACAATGCACTTGGCAAAAAACATTTGCCAACAAAATTTCCAAAGCTGTGTAGTTTCACATCGAAGTAAAAAAAATTTTTTTTGTTTAACGTTGTTTTTTTTTATTCAAAATACAACGAAATTAAATATTTAAAGATAGTGTGCAGTTGCAAAACACACTTTTTAAAATACAAATTTTTTTAATCTTGATGGAATTGCTCCACAACGGATGTTTTTATTTTTTAGAGTGTACATGCCCCAACCCACTTCAGTCTCGATCTGCGACTGTTTCGGTTTTGGATTTTGTTTTCGATGGGTTTGGTTCCTTTTTTTGCGGTTATCATTTGGCGAACCCACGCGTGGCGACATTTCCACCAGAAGTTTATTTCATCTCGAATGGAAAGTGCCTTGCGGGTGGCCCTTCTTTTTTGAAAGGGTAATGAAGTGGGTTGCCGACTTAATTGGAAGTTGGGAGCTAAACAAACCATTTTAGTTTGAAAAGTAATGCAGTTACTTACTAGTTACTTGTTTGAAAGTAACTTTTTTGGGTGTCTGCTACTACATATTTCATAACAGTTTACCAGTCTATATGTCAATGATTCAAAATTGATACATATTTTGGCTTAGCTTTATATTAAGATTATTTGGAAAACAATCAAGCTAAGACGAGCAAACTGACATTGGCGTGACCCTTTTCGATTCGGATCTCATTTCGGTGCCGGCTGCAAATCCCCAAACCATCAATTCCCTCGTAATCCCAGTCCCTCCGACATCAGTTCAGCTCATCGCATAACCCTTTTTGAAGTCGGATGTGTTAATGTGACTGCAACGACGATAACGACAATGAGAAGAGGTATAGCCGAAGAGGGCGAACGAGGCGAGCCAACAACAAGCTTAAGATAGATATAAAAGTAAGGCGATAAGCCCGGAACGTCAGTGGGTCTGCCTGTCGTCGTTGTCGAATACCCGGAGATCGGAGATATATCCGGGGAATGGGAGGGTGGTTCACTGCTGGATGGGTGGGTGACGGGGCTGGCCAAAGTGGAGGCGAGGAATGTTGACGACGCATGCGTTTTGCGTTGGCTGTCAAATTAATTTCGTTCGCTGCTTCGACTGTGACTACGGCGAC